TCTGTCAAACAGCAGAAAGGGAAGACTGAACTTGAAAAGACATAAAGACCCTCAGGGCTAAGGCAGGCCTCCCAGACCCTCATACAAACAAAGAGAGCGAGGTTAAAGAGACAAGTGCTGGCCAGGCATGGTGGCATCTGCTGTCCCCACTGCTCAGAGGCTGAGGCAGGAGCCTCAGATGTTTGAGGCCACCCTGGGCAGCGTAGCAAGACTCTGTTGCAAAAGCCAACCCGCCAGCACATACAGTGCTGCCCTGGAGGCCATGTGTTTAGGTTCTGTGTCAAATCATTCTGAGAGGAACACTTAGGTCCATTCAGAAGGAACCAGCCCTGTCCTTTAAATCATGTCATTTGAGCGCCAGGGCACCTCAGTGTGACCAGGCTGGTGGGGTTGGAGGTGAAGGGCTTGGACCCTTTGAGGTGAGGGCACCGCACACGGGATTCTAAATGCTGTTACACCAGCACCGTTAGCGCATCAGAAAGATGTGTGATTTTCTTTTTCCTTTCTAGTAAGTCTTTTCATTGAAATAAATATATGATGATTCTTGCATATGTTTGGGAAAATTCTTTATTTTCACCTGAGATGGGAGATTTAAAGAAGATTGTTGTTCTGTATATTGGAAATGCCACCATGACTAAAAAACAGGTAACAAATTTTGGTATATACCAGGCATTTTTCTTCCAGTAAAACATGCCTAGATAAAATTATTAAAAGTGCTGCCCTGGAGGCCATGTGTTTAGGTTCTGTGTCAAATCATTCTGAGAGGAACACTTAGGTCCATTCAGAAGGAACCAGCCCTGTCCTTTAAATCATGTCATTTGAGCGCCAGGGCACCTGGGGCCAGCAGATGCCACCATGCCTGGCCAGCACTTGTCTCTTTAACCTCGGTCTCTTCGTTTGTATGAGGCTCTGGGAGGCCTGCCTTAGCCCCCACACTGGGCACGGTGGTGCCTGCCTGGCTGTGCCCGAGCTATAATTGCAACACTCTGAGAGGCTGAGGCAGGAGGATGACAAGTTTGAGCCCTGCCTGGGTAACTTAATGACTTAGCGAGGGGCCATCTCAAGAAATGAATGAGTGAATATTAATTTTAAAAGGGGGCTGAGGGTCTAGCTCAAAGGCCCTGAGTTTGGGTCAGTCTGAAGTACTGCGCAAAAAAAAAATTATGAATAGGCCAAATACATTTTAAAATAGAACTTCTTTAAGTTTTGACTGTAAGTTTAAAAACGTTAAACACAACTGTAGTTAAGCCAACTTGAGAAACTTAAAAAATACTGGATAACTCAGCTCAAATCTCACTTCTGTTTATATTTGAAAAAGAAAGGTAATCCTTTCTCCGTTTATAAATTGCTGGGCCATTGTGATGATCAGAATACGAAATCTCACGAGACCCCCGCCCGTGGGCTCTTTTGGTGGGGTCTGTCTCTGCGCCTGTCCTCATCTCCTGGCTGAACGAGTTGCTCGCTCTGCTTTCCTGAGAGCCCTCAGAAAAGAGCCCTCAGCACCTAGGAATCAGTGAATCCGGTTCCTAAGCACCCTCAGCGGCTCTCAGACATGACATCTTTTTAATTTAATACCTAAAGGTCAAAAAATTGTCCACCTTGAGAGCTGTAACGGCAATGACAGAGGTTTGTGTTTAGTTCAGGGCAAACTCAAGGGTGCTTGTTCTTATTTAACAGTGATATGTGAAAAGCCTGAGCGAGACAAGGATGTAGTAATATTGAGGTCTTTGGTCACCTCCTTATAAATATGTTCTTACTGGGGAGGCAGGTCATGTCCTTACAGGGAGGACACAGCCAGTCTGTAATTCACCCACTTGAAGCTCACACTTCCAGGTGTGTGGTCGGGAGCTGTGTGGCTTTGATCAGAATCAACTGTAGAACATTTTCATAGAACCCAGAAGACACCAGCGCCCACTGGCTGTCACTTCCTGTTTCCTGTCCAGCCCCTGGCGTGTGACCTGCTGTCCGTCGTAATGGTTTTGCTTGCTCTAGACTTGTCACAGTTTGTGGCTGTTACCTCTGGCTTTGGGGACTCACCGTCCTGGTTTCCAGGTCCACCCCTGCCGTAATGTGGTCACTGCACTGTCCCATTGTTGGGCTGAGTAACGATGCCCCCTCACTTGGGGACACACTTCCCTGTCCACTGCTCTGGCGTGTGCAGAGGTGAGAGCAGGCTGCGAGGTGAGCCCTCCTGAGGGACTGCCAGACTCTTCCTCCTTGCCTGTGCCACTTTCTGCTCCTCGCCCTCCTCGCCAGCGTGAGTTTGAGCCGTCCTGGTGGGTGGGCTGCGGCGCCTCAGGGTGGGGCCCATTGGGTCCTCCTTGGGGCTGAGGATACAGGAGTCTTCCCCAGACTCGCTGGCCACGTGCATATCTTTGAAGAAATGTCTGCTCAGGTCGCTTCCACCTTTTTCATTGGGCTTTTTCTTTTCGAGTTGCAAGAGTTTTTTGTATAAATACTTAAGTAGAGCTTTTAAAATTCCTTACTCCATGCCAACTTTGACTTTTAACGAAACCTAAAGGGCAGCAGCCTGCCTGTCCCGCCCCGGTACCCTTCCATGCCATTGCCGCCTTGCGACCAGGGACAGTGTGGTGGCAGCGACCCTGTGGCCCGTTCCGGAAGGGAGGCGCCAGACGGCGAAACTTCGAGCTTTCAGTGGTAACAACCTGCTGCAGCCTGCGCGCCGTCCTTTCGCTGCCACTGTCCTCGAGTCTACCTTAACTTCTAGGGGTGAAATGTAGGCCTCCAGGAGGGACAGCACGGGGCCTGCTGCCGGGCGGTCGCTGGAGACGGGGTGGGTGTAGGGCCAGGCTGCAGGACGGTCGCAGAGGTGCTGCCTGCTGTGTTTCCGTCCTGGGACTGATGCTCTTCCGAAGACAAAGCAGCCGGGGTGAGGAGACTGGTTTCCTAACTCGTCTGACTGCGGGAACGCCCTTCGAGGTTCGTGCCCTGGTCTCCCTGTGGGTGCTGGAGGTGACACAGGAATGGCTTCTTGGCGGATGGATGCTGAGTGGCTCCTAGGTCCCTGACTCACTGCTGGGAGACGTGGCACTAGCACTGATCTCCGGTCCCTTCTCCCTGGAGAGCCATGGGAGACGCTCACACCACATCCCATCCCTGTTGCTGTCCTGGTGAGGAAAAGCCAAGCTGGGGACACATTTTGACCCCCAGACCTGAGGGTGTGGCTTGACTGAGCAGCACCCCCATCCCGAAATCTTTGTTTTCTGAGGGCTCCTATGGGCGCTCTTCTTTCTCTGTAGCAGAGACTCACTGTTTATCCCCCAGTACTGGGGATTGAACCCAGGCCTTTCACACTGAGTCACATCCCCAGCCTGTTTTTGTTTAATGTTGACACAGAATCTTGCTAAATTGCTAAATTACCCAGGCTGGACTCAAGCTTCTGATCCTCCTGCCTCAGCCTCCTGAATGCTGGAATCATAGGTATGTGCCACCATACCGAGTTTATTCTAAAATGATTACAAGTTATTACAAAATAACAAACTTATCATGAATAATTTCTAACTTATCAAGGTATCGAGATTAGCTCTGCTTTGTTTTTTAAAGTCAGAAGTTACTAAATTCGGAAGTAGAGGCCGCCTGGGACCATTCCTTACCTGAACACAGCTGGCCGGCATTGGGCTTATGTTTTAGGTATTCCTTTTAAAATGGAAAGTTCCAGTTTGCTTTGGGGCCAGAATCCTTAAAAGAAACCCAGCCTGGAGGTGTGTTGCGGGTCAGTGTATATTTGTGAGCTTGTATCTTGCTGACTAAACTGGCAGAGTTTCTGTTTTTCCTGGTAAATACTCAGAAGGCCTGCACTCCACCCGCCCCCAAGCCTAACAAAATCCTGTTTGTCGTATGGACGTGAAGTAAATGACTGCTACAACTGTCGGGGGCCTGTGACGACAGGAGAGTGAGCGGAGGCAGACAGAGGGTTCTTTTTGGGTTGGTCTCCTTCTGACTCAAGTGCAGGCTGTGGCCAGGGGACCGAGGGTGGCTGGGGCTCAGAGACGGCGTGAATCACACAAGCGAAGGGTTCTTATTTGTGGGAAATGGAGGTGCTGTCCTACAGGACTTAGAAAGTGTGGGTTTTTTCTTGAGGTAATTATGACTCTTGTTTGTGAACGTTAGATGACACGAAGCTCTATTAAGAAAGCTCACGCTGATTTTCATTCCTCATGAGGTGTAAAGCCATAAACCTGTACAAAACCTTTTTATGAAAAATACCAAGAAGTTCAATTGGAACCCCAGCCAAGCCTGGTGGTACCCCTGGAATCCCAGCACCTGGGAGGCTGAGGCAGGAGGATAGGGAGTTCCAAGCCAGCCTTGGCCCATTTTAAGACCCTGTCTTAAAAGCTCAGCTGAATGAATGAATCCTGACCTGAGGGTCTACCTTTGAAACCTGTTTTGAGAACTGTACCTATATATTACGCTGTGGCAAATTGCTTGTTGAAACTTTCGTGCTGATCTTTTTCACATACCGTTTTTAGTAAGAATAAGACGTTTATTCCTCGTTAAACAATGCATTTTTATTCCTTTTAACTCCAGGAGGAAATGTGAACTGTTAGCCCATATATTTTCCTCATTCTTTAGAAAGAAAATAACATAACAGAAACAGCACACAGGAAAGGCAGGGAGGCCAGGTGTGGGGCGGGGCGTTCCAACCTGCCCAGCAAAGGCTTTTCACGTTCTAAGTGAACTTCTCAGACTGTTGGTGGTGGATACTGGTTTTCTCCCCTCTGTTGTTCCATTACAACTTTACATCTTAAACTGTGCCCCGAAGAGGGACAGGGCTTGAAGACCACGTTGCCCATGTCGCCTGGCGGGGACACGCCCCAGACCGTGTTCGCGGTTGGCCGGGTCACCGTCCCGCTGCTGAAAACTTTCCACTGGGAGTAGCTTTGCAAGGGCCCGAGCTGGCGGGTGGGCAGGGAGCCCGGGGGCTGGGATGGGGCCACTTCTCCCGCCTGCTGACTGCGGCCTCATCTCTTTTTGCGTAGGTGAAGCTGCTCTCCGGGGAGAACCCAGGATGCAGACCCTGCCGGTGGCCTCTGCCCTCAGCAGCCACCGCACCGGCCCGCCCCCCATCAGCCCCAGCAAGAGAAAGTTTAGCCTGGAACCGGGGGACGAGGACCTCGACTGTGAAGCTGACCACGTCGCCAAGATGGGCCGCATCTTCAGCCCCCACCTGTAAGTCCCTGCTTTGCTCCATGCGGGACTGGTGTCCCTGCAGCTTCTGCCTGTGATGAAGTTGTCATCTCCTGAGGTCCTGATGTGAAGCTGTGACCCGAGGCCCGGAGGGGCTCACCTGACTTTACAGCCCGTGGAGACAGGAGTCTCCCTTCTCCCATCCCGTGGGACGCAGTGTGTCTCCCTCAAGTGGACGTTGCCCACAGATCCTGGGGGCCGTTGTCCTCCGTGTGCACTGACGGCGACTGTCCTCAGGGCCCTCTGTGTGTCCCTGAGCTGGCAGGTGAGGTCTGCCGTGCAGACCCCGGTGGCCTTGTCACTCAGGCGTGGACCGTGCACAGCGTGAGAGCGCTTTCTCCCCAGCGCCTTGTGAGGCGGACCTGGGGCTTCCTGAGAGGTGGGACCGCAGGCTGGTCGTGCTTTGGTGGCACGTCCGTGCTGACTGGAGCCGAGGCCGTAGTTGCAGGCATCTTAGTGCCGGGAGACTGGGCCATGGGTCCTCAGTCAGCCACCAACAGGGGCTGGAGCTGCATCTGGACTTGGGCCTTTCAGCTCTCTGGGCCTCGGTTTCCTCAGTTGTGAACCCAAGGTCTCTGCATGTGGCCTGCTTCTGTTTGAGCGCTGCCCCTCGCTCCACCTTTCAACACCCACCTCACCCCCAGCACGCAGGACTTTCCCCACGGGTTCCCAGGTATGGGAGCAGTGGGCTCGTGTGTCTTAGAAAGAAAGGGCCTGCTCCCGTGTCCGCTTGAGTTCCCCTCGAACATAGATGTGAGGGTGCCCGCTGGCCCCCGACCCACCCTGCCGCGTCCTGCCTCGTTCTGTCCTGTCCTATCCCGTCCCATCCCAGGGACGCCGCGCGCCAGCCTCGCAGGAAGGTGCAGCCCGGGCCCTGCCTGGAGGCGGAGGCTCCACAGCTGGCAGCGGCTGTGTCCTCGCATTCCTCGCGTTCCGATCTGCCTGGCTCGTGGTGTGCAGTCATGAGACACTGACAGAGGTATTTATCCTCAGATAAATCACTGCAGTGTTAGTCACAGGCTGAGCCTGCAGCCTGCAGCCCTGGAATCTGCTCCATCAGGAATCTGGCGGCCTGCAGAACAATGAGCTCTCGCAGGCCCGGAGGCCGCTGCGGTCCGGCCAGCCTCCTCCCAAGGCTGGACTTTGTTCTTCTGTTACTGGGAATTTCTTACTCCCATCCCATCCCTGTCTCCCGAGCCCAGAGCTTTTTGTTTGTTTATTTTTGAAGGAAGCGGGGAGGGGAGCCTCGCAGCACTGTGGCTCCTGGTCAGGCTGTGGTTCTGGTCAGGCAGTCCTGCTGCAGGGCCCCGGCTGGGCACTCCTAGCTGTGAGGACAGCAGGCCCCCAGGGCATGGCTTGGGAGCCCAGGGTGTGAGTGTGGCCTGGAAGCCCAGGTCTCCCGAGGCACTATTAACGGTGTTGACGGAATGAAGTTTTGTGTGCAGCTCCTGCTCACCATTATCTGGTGGGGCTTTGGGAATGTACAATCAGCAGCACCCACATTCTGCCAACTCCCAGCAGCACAGGGGGTTTTCCTGCTGTTTATTGTGGTAAAAGACACATGATAACGTGTGTCATCAGAAATTTTGGGGTGGGGGTTGAATACAGGGCCTTTACATTGAGCACCATCCCCAACTCTTTTTTATTATTTTTTTTACAAATTTTTTTTGGGGGGGGTACCGGGAATCGAACTCAGGACCTTGCACTTGCCAGGCAGGTGCTTACCCTTCTTTATTTTTTGAGACAGGGTTTTGCCAAGTCACTAAGTTGCCCAGGTTGGGTTTGAATTTGTGATCCTCCTGCCTCAGCCTCCTGACTGTTGGATTACAGGTGTGCACCACGCCTGGCTCACTGTGAGCATTCAAGTGTAGAGCTTGGGAGAGTGTCTGAACTGTGGGGTGGCGAAATGATTGGTGCCCCTTGCTGGTTGCGATAGGGATCCGTGTCAGCGACGTTGGCCCAGTGCCTGCCTGTTTCCTAGGAGCCCGGTGACGGACTCGGTGTCCCCTGCTTGCTGGCGTTGTGGGGTGCACCTAAGTGCTGTTGTTCAGGTTGATGAACTGTTCCCTGCTCGAGCTTTAGCAGCTCCTCGCTTTTTATTTCAGATGTCTAAGCAGTTCTCTGTAATACATATGGGCTCATAGCGAGCGGGCCAAGAACAGCCCTAGCGCCTTTGTCCCCAGAAAGAGAAAATGAGGATTTGTTCCAGCTATGCAGTGAAAGTGTGTTTATTTCTCACGAAAGAAATCAAAGTCCTGGACGGGGACGCTGTTGAGCCATAGTTTCAGCAGCTGGCGAAGAGGGAGCTCAAAGCGGCAGGTTTTGGTGGTGTTCTCTGTCACCCTCGCGTGGGCATGGGTCAGGGCCACTTGGCATGGTGTGGGGAGGGAAGTGGTTTTCCAGCTCCTGCAAGGTGGGCACGGCGGGCCGCTGGGCCCTCACACCTGCCCTTTACATCGGGGTCACTCGAGCTTGTTTGTGACGTTCTTACTAACGTGGCGACCCGGAGAGACAGGTGTCTTAAGACGGGTGTGGCATGGTCCGGGTGTACTTGGGAGCTGACAAGTCCTCCGTCTGTCCCGGCGGAAGCGGGTGGCTGAGGGGCTGTGCAGGAGTGGGGCTCCTTTCTGGAAATGTCCCAAGGCAATCTTTTCTCCTGGCCGTGCTCATCACCCCTCACATGTCCCCGGGGCCCCAGCTCTGTGTGTGCCCTTCAGCGGCGCCCGTACCCTGTTCCTTTCCCGTGCTGTTCGGTTGTTGGTGACGGTGTTTCTGTTCGGTGGCAGCCCAGCTTCCCGGGGCCCATCCTCTAACCCACTGCCTGGCCAGAGTAGCTGCGTGCCCGGCAGGGCTGGTTCCTGCCCTGGGGAGTGGCACCTAGCAGCGTAGTATCACGTGGTACTTTCCTGTCAGTGTGCTGTCACCGCTCCTGGATGTGGGTTGTCTCCTATGCGACCGGAGCCTGCTGCAGGATTTACATTTACACGCAGCCCCAGCATGGGACGGGGCGCAGCTCCCTGATGCGCCCTTGCCTCACCCTCCCCAGACCATGGGTCCCAACCCTGGCTCTGCAAGATAAAAAATCCAGTCAAACAGAATTAGAAGTCTCCGTCATCATGGTACCAGCCACATTCCAGAGTCACTGGCCACCCACAGTGGAGGCGGCAGTGGCGGTGCTGGACCGCGCAGCCCCAGGCTGCAGTGGCATCGCAGGGGCACCACGGCCGGTTCTCCACCGGGGGACGGGGAAGCCAGGAGATCCAGCAGCCCTCTGGCTGTGGCCGACCCTGTGAGCTTGCTGTGCGCCCGTCCCTGCTTGCATCTCTGCCCCCCGGTGAGACTGCCCAGTGCCACGCGCCTGGCCTGTCCTTGAGCGTGTGTCTCCAAATTGCTGCGTGCCCAGCGCTCTGACACATGCTGAAGAGCTCGGCGCTGTTTGCAGTTAACGTTTCCCCTGGTCCGGGTGTATTAGTTAAGGGTACTGAGCTCCTTGGTGACTCGCGCTTCCCCAGCCAGCACCGTTATTTATTCCGTGTCTCCTCGCCTTGAGTTTAGCTTTTTCCCTGCCTTGTGGATTAAATTTTGTTTTTTGAAGATGGAGGACATTGACATGCTTCCAGATGCCAAACCACTAAAGCATGCTTGGTGCTTGGCGTCTCTGTCCCTCCCAATGGGGCGTCCTCCAGGTCTTTCCTTCTGGTGACTGGAGCCCAGGCTTGAATGCTTTGTTCCCCCTTCTTCCTCGAGCACAAGCCACCCTGCTTGGTGTTTCCATTTGGTGGTACATGGTGGAAAGTGTCAGCCAGCTCCCCAGCCCTGTTCATGGCTGCATAGTACTCCGTCACTTTCTGGGCCAGAGTTCATTTGGTAGCCCCTGTTGTCCTTGCCTGGAGGTAATTAGAGCAGTGATGCTGAGATGGCAACCTTGTGGAGTCAGGGTTTCTCACGGACGTAACATCGAAAGCAGGCGAGGCAGTAGATGCAGGTGCTCAGGGGCTATGTGTTGGCTTGCAGGAGCCTGCGTTGGGGCTGTGAGGTTGGGGGGGTTTCCCATTTGGGTACACACTCGCAGAGACCGTGCCTTGGCCCCGGCGTGGGGTGGAGCTCACAGGTGCTGGCCTCATCATGGCAGCTGTGCAGGCCCCTTGGCTACCTGAGTGTCCCCTTCCACCCACCCCTTTGGCAGGCTCGTCCCCACGGGGTGACTGGGAGGTAGGGAGAGGCGGTGAGACCCAGGCCGGAGAATGGAAATCGCACGCCGGCTGCCGATGCAAACCTGAGGGAGGGGTGTGAGCTTGGTAGGGTTCCGGGTTCCCTCTAGGTTTTGTTTCCGTGCTGCGGTGCGGGTGACCTGAGCGGCACCTCTGACGCTGGGGATGAGCTGTAGTTTTGGAGACCCCTGTGCTGCCCCTTGGCGGCTAGACCATCGTCCCTTGGGTGGCCCCGTCTCTCTCCGACCTTTCGATGGAGACGCATGTGGCCGTGAGGGAAACAGCCCTCGATTCGAATTAAGTCTGCATCTGGGAGACAGTGCCTTGGTCCTGCTGGTCCCTGGATGTGGCGAGGTGATGGGGTCCGCTGTGTAGACAGGCGGCCTGGTCCTGCGTCCCAGGCAGCCCCAGAGAGGAGCGGACAGCCGATGTGTATCCCTGGCCTCCAGCGGCCCAGGCGCCATCACACAGTGCCAGACAGTATGGGTGTGCGCCAGGGAAGGGGAGGAGACGGTCCTGAGGTCCCTGGCTACCAGGGACAGTTCCCTGCCGGGGCTCGGGAGGCCGGGCTGCTGCCTGGCCACCCACAGAGGCCTGGTGAGGCATCTTGGACAGGCGGGATCCCTCTAGGAACAAACAGGGTTCCCTCTGGTTTGGGGGTTTTTCAGTGCTGGGCATGGGACCCAGGGCCTGTGTGTGCTGGGCAAATGCTCACCACTGAGCTGTGCCCCTCAGCCCCGAACAAGCCTTCTGTGTGCCAGAGAAGAGCAA